CTGAGGCCGTGGGTGCGGGCTGTCCCGCAGCTGTCAGCTGGAGGAGAAATCTCAGGGAGCGGTTCCACAAGGGCTGGGAATGCCGTAGTTCCAGGACTGTGCCATTTGGCGCTGTGTGTCACTTGTTCTGACACCGTTTCTATAGCCAGCAGGGACAGCTGTTCCTTGCTTTGCACATCAGCTTACTGATGTCTTGCAGCAACTGCTCTGTGACTTCACCGTGCTTATCTTTTCCCTCAAACTGGGATCTGGAAGGTTCCGTCACATCTGTTCTTCCGAGCAGCGAGCCGGGGGTCGTGGGGCAGCACTGCCCGGTGAGGGCTGGTTTGGCCTTGCCTGCATCCTTGTAGAGGATAGTCAAGAGTTAAGATGGGAACGAGAGGGTGGAACCGTGTGGCAATTGCTCCTGCTTTGTCTGATCAGCTGCAAAAGGACCAACATCCACACGCTCGGCTGTTTAAAGCCTGAGGAAAAAGGTACACCCAGACCCTCTCTAGAGGTGTCTGTTCCAAAACGTTGGTAGGTTTCAGGCTTCCCTATGTCGTTCATCTGCTTGTGCAAGCGATGCGGGTCTCACTTGGCTTGGGGCCGTGTCCTGTCTGCGGCGCTGATCCTGGCGGGCGCCGGAGGGGCGCGGGGCGGGCGCTGGACCAACATCCACACGCTCGGCTGTTTAAAGCCTGAGGAAAAAGGTACACCCAGACCCTCTCTAGAGGTGTCTGTTCCAAAACGTTGGTAGGTTTCAGGCTTCCCTATGTCCTTCATCTGCTTGTGCAAGCGATGCGGGTCTCACTTGGCTTGGGGCCGTGTCCTGTCTGCGGCGCTGATCCTGGCGGGCGCCGGAGGGCGCGGAGCGGGCGCTGCCGGCCCTGGCATTGCCCAGCTCCTCGCTCGGGCTTTGGGATCAGTTACTGCAGCAGCCCTCGCACTGAGCTGCCTGCTGGGGAGCCATAATTAGCTACAGAGCTAATGCGTTTGGTACACATGCCTTGGAAATACAGCCCTTGGTCATTCGCCTCGTGTAATTGCTGCCGAGTAAGCTCGGGAGGTCAGAAAGGGATCCCTTGAGAGTTGGTGGCAGGAGCAGTGACTCTGTAATGGGACTTAAGTGCCTGGGTGTGTCTTGTGTCCCTTCTGACAGAAAATTTGTGCAGCTGCTTTTATTTGCTGAGAGGAAAATATTTAGGTGAAAACAAGGGTTGGCTGAACTTAATATAACTTTTACTGTGCTTTGATTGTGTTTATTTGAAAGCAAAGGGCAAAAATTACTTGTGTTTTGCTCTTGGAATTGTTTAGTCTTTTCCAGGACAAAAAAGAAGAGAAAGTAAGGGGGATCAGAAGGGCAAAAGAGGAAAACGCTTTAACGCTTATAAGAATCTGTTGGCTTTAGCAGAAGGCACCAAAACTAGAAGACAATATCACTTGTATTTGTTTGGTGGGTTTGTTTTATGAGGAAGTTTCTTTCTTTTTTTTCAAATTACTAATGGAAAACAGCCTAGTTTTGAGTCTAAATTGCTTTGATTGTTTTTCAATATTAAAAAAAAGCAACTTATAAGGGAAGTTGTTACTTTGATCTGTTCTGGGTGTTTTGGGATTTGCTTTAGTTTAATTATTGTTTTGTAATATAAAACTGTGCCCCAGGGGATGCTTCGGAGTTCTGCAGAGATCTAGTGATTCAGCTCATGTCAGGTGTACTTAAGAAAGAAAGATTATTCAGCTGTTACCTCAGTCACTTGAAACTAGTTTCCTTAGGGTAGAAGATGCTCAAAAGGGAAAACAGAGGCAAAGCTGGTGACAAGCCAGGTGATCTTATGGTTTTGTTCTCTTCTCTATTTTCTTGCCCTTTCTTGCCCTTGTTAACTGGTGGGTGGACATTTATCAAGGATTTAATGTCTGTAAAACAGTCATTAATTGTCAGATAATTTGGTGATGACAGGCTAATAACCTATGTAGGCAAACCTTTTTTAAATAAGAAATATAACCTGGTTTCTTCTTTTCCCCTTAGGTGGATTCTGTCACAGTTTTCAGAAAAGTGAATTTCTTTGGACTTAGCTCCTTCACACAGCACAAGCTGCACTAAAAAGGTACTTCTGTACTGGAGAAAGAATATCTGCATTCAGGGTTTGCACTCATAAAGTTCTCATCAAGTGTGTGGTCTGTTTTGGACATCTGTTAACTGTGACTGTTGGGTGAAAACCAGTGTGAGGTATCTGCAGAAGTAATGGGAGTGGAAGGCACAGTGTAACGTGATGTGAAGTGATAGACTTCATAAGCACCAGCACATCAGAGGTATGACTGGAGGGTCCAAACACTTTGAGAGCATTTTATGTTCAGTCTTCAAAAACAAGGCTTTAGGCTGACTTGGATGTTTGGTTCCATGTTGAAAGTAGGCTTGCTGGTCTGACTTTTGCAGAACGAAAGTATGAGTTAAAAGATGGGCTAAAGGGATGATGATGGTTTTCTGGTTATTTTTTAAATACTATTGCACGGATTCGATGCATCTGCAGAAGTAGGTCTGTTCTCTGGAGGACGCTGAGAAATGAGTGAACTTGTCAGTCAAATATGAAGTGACTGTGTTCCCAGAGGCATCTTGGGAGGGTTCCCTATTCTCAAAGCCATGCTTTTTACTTGCTCTTCTGAATGACAATCTCTTTCTCTTAGAACAATGGTTTTCTTGTAGGTGTGTTTGCATTACTGTTATTTATAGTTATCTGCCTTGGGTTCTGATAAAGGGAGTGGTCAGCTTGAGGGATTGACAGGCTTTGGGCAAGTCTCAGCACTGTCTCTTAATACGTGGGCATTTTACTGTAATTGACTTTTGCATGTGCTGGGAACTTAACCTCACAATTCAGGATGAGCAAGAGCTTTGGGGTTTTTAACAAGGCTTGGCTTTGTCCTTTGTTTGGTTTTTCTGAAGCCTGTGGGTATTGAGCTAGGTTTTGCACCAGCACTTCAGAAAACCCTGCTCTGAACAATTGTGAGCAACATTATATAAACTTAATATGGAGCCAACAACTCAGTGATGTCCTCGTTCTTGTAACTGCCACTGAAGCATTTATTGACTAGTTTTAATCCCTGAGCAATATTGGTCAATGAGCTTTTCCTGAGATTATGAAAGGTTGCTTGAGAAATGCAAGGATTTACTTACAAAGCAGAATTCGAGTTGTTTATTTTCATTGACAGGAAAAAGATACATCCTTGTCCAGGCATGACAAGGACTGGGAGGTAATGAGCAGAGTAGCAGAACAGTCTATCTAGCTTAATCTTGAAAAACTGAAAATATAAACAAAGTGAGGATCAGCCAGAAAAAGCCTGAGAAAATACTGGGATGGAAAGGGGAAGTAACACCCCCAGACACATTGTGATGCATCTAGGGTCACCAATGCAAGTGTTGATTTCTACACTACACTTCAATAGTGTTCTAGTTGTTCTGGTCTTCAGCATCACAGCCTGTGTAGTTTTTATCACTTGTCTTAGGTAGCTGGGTAAGAGAGATCATTGCTAGAGCACGGTTATAGAGGTAGGTGTGGGAGTCAAATTTGCCTTCATGACAGAGTTTTGAAACTGGGGTTTGAACAGATCTGTGAATGGAAATGCAGCAGGCCCCACAGGGCCTTGGAGAGAGCCATCACATCTGTGGTGGAGATCTCCAGCAAGGCTGCTGTGGAGGGCATGAAAGCTATTGCTAGGGGTACCTTGTGTCTCCCTCTTCTCCAAGAGGTGCTTGCAAGTGTCTGTCATTCAGTGGAGATGACAGCTTCTTCTGAAATGTGACTGAAATGGATGTGTTCTGTGACATGTGGCAGAAGCATGTCAGTTATGTCACATCACAGTATGCATACTGTCCCACGAGGTGTGCAGATAGACACTTTTCAAAAAGGACAGGATGCAGTTTTGTGTAGCTGAAATATTTCCTGTTCTCTGATAAGAGTGAAGCTGTGGGTCCCTTGGGGAGAGGGAGTAGGGCTTGCCAGAACATGGCGTGTGCCCTGTATCTTCTCCCATCGTGGAGCAAAGAACAGAGAGGAGAGCAGAGGCTGTATGCTGGGTGTGGGACCTTAGAACTCCTCACCTAATAAGTACATTGAGAAAGAGAAAGGAGTGAAGGGAAATTAATGGTCCAAGATCCTCAAATGTACCAATGGGAGCCTTGTCTTTCCAGACCTCACAGAGCTTATCAATTTGAAGGAAACCTCACAGTTACACAGGGTAATGCATGCAACAGCTGCTGCTTGTGCTTTTGTCTTTTGAAACACTGTGAGGAAAAATAATGTGCTGAAAACTCTGTAAATGGAAACACAGGGCCTGTTTGCAGCAGTGGTTGATTTCAGTTTTCTGTCTTGCCCATGTGTCTCAGAAACTCTGCCCAACAGGAGAAAAAGGAAGCCCTGCCTTGTGGTGTCCTCGGTTCATGGTCTGCCTGCTGACACTTTAATAAAGAAGCTTGTAATGCTGATTCTCTTATTAGTTCTTTGCAGTGCAGTGGGGCTGCTTTGTTGTCCACAGATTTGTCAGATTATTACTTAGTTGCTTTACTTTCCCTCACACTTGTTTCAAGGTGTGTTCTCTGCTTCTGGTTAAGTATGTGCTCAGGTATTTCAGTGAGGGCAAGAACCCACTTCACTTATAGGCCCTCACCTCTTTCCCGATTTGGACCTCACTATTTGGCTGAGATGGCAAAATTAATTATTTTGATTGGTCAGTGGTAGATTTGGCCATGAATGAGCTGCAAAGTGACTATACCAGAAGTTTTGCTGATTCGTCTTTTGATTGGCCAGTGGTAGATTTGGCCACAAATGAGCTGCAGTGTATCCAAAGTGACTATACCAGAAGTTTTGCTGATTCTTTTCCTGTTGGAAGGTTGTAACAAATGTCTGTCATTCTTAATATTCCAGTTCCATTGTCCTTGTTCACCAATGAAAATTCCAGCTATGGCTTTGTTCAAGCAGCAGAAGGTGGAGGACGTGTATGAAATTGGGGAAGAGCTAGGAAGGTGAGTCCTAATGACACCAGAATGTTGTAAAAGCTGCCACATGGGGATAGTTGCCACATCTTAAAACAGTGACTGCGCATGAGGACCCAAATCAATTGCAATATGCAGCAACAAAAACACACCCCTTTACAAAAACTGCACTTTGGGGATTTTGATTTATTTTTTTAGGTTAAGTGTGCCAAGTATTTTTCATGTTTATTTTATTGCAGCTAGGACAACAAAAGGTAGGTTTACATTGTCTTTTGTAGATAGGTGTCATCTGTGTGCTTCAGACTGAGTTCACAGGTCTGTTCTCTAAACCAGCTTGGAAACAGGAGCCCACGGTGCTGTTGTTATAGATGCAGCCTTTTAATTTGGCTTGTTCTGAACGGTGCTGCAGGGCATTGTTGTTTGGAGCTGGCTCACAGCACTGACAGAACACATTCATATCTGCTAAGAGGCACTGTGTGTGTACTCCTGAGAAGATTTACCTTCGAAATTTCAACTGCTTGATACCTGTATATAGCTTTTAATCTATAAAGGCTTATCTGCAGGTATTAATTATAGGTGGAGTTAATGGGCTATTACCATGCTTAACCATAAGCACCTGCTTAAACACTGCTGGGTTTGTGACACAGGGCTCCCCTGTCACTTAGCAACAAACAGTGCTGTGGGTGAGGATGGCAGGGTTTCCATTCAGTGTCCAACCCTCCAGTGATTTTCTTTTTAATATGCAAATAGCTAAATTAGGGCTATACACGGCTTGGCCTCTTTCCCAGTGTCTGGCAGTTGGTTTTGATAAATGACTGTGTATATGCAATTAGCCTGTTTCAAGAGCCAATAATTTAGTTACATTAATACACTTCAGCTGAAGCTGTTTCCCTGCAAAGTCTTTACTTTTTTCACTCCCAGCTATTTAATCTTTAGAGTTTTTGAGAACATTTCTTTTAAGGGGAGATGAATTGTTTGGTTTGGTTTTGGTTTTTTCATTCCTTTCTCTCTCAGGAAGACCTCAACTACTAAATCTCCTGGAACTGCTTATTTTTGAGTATTGACTGGTCCTGAGAACATCAGGCTGAAAGTGAAAATCTGAGTAGTAAAGAAATTCAGTGGTGTATACAGGTTGTATGCTTTTTTTAACCTGGAAGGCCCTGGGCTGTAGCAGTCAAAAGTGTAAAATGAGAAACTAGAAGTTGAGTAGCATATTTTTGTTTTGGCTCCTGAACTGGATTTGGAAATCCAGTGTCTTTTGATGAACCTCACTTTCCTCTTCAAGCTGATGGTTATTAGGCCTTTTGAATGGAGAAGTGAAGTTGAAACAACCTGGAAAAGGCTGACCCTTAGTGTCTGAACTTGCCTGAGAGGCCTCAGGCTAGTAAAGGCTTGTGTGGTCACAGCTCCTGGCTGCATGTCATAGAAACATGGTGTCTGTTTTATGCTGTAGGGCTGGTACTGCCTACATGTTTGGTGGTGGGCTGGGTTTAGAGGAGACTACACTTAGACGTGGAATCTGAAATTGTTGCCATTTGTAATGGATGTATTCTTTGTAAGAAAGACCTTTTCTAGATAAGCCAGAAAGAGGAGTAGGTGTATACATGAGCAGGTGCCCTCCTCACATGGCAAAGGTGTATTGAAATCCACTGCACCATGTTCTAGTTCCCAGCATTTTATGTATAATGCTTCTTGTACTTGAGAAATACAACTTGTTACTGAGGTCTGTAGGCAAAAATGTTTCCTGAAAGACCTGAAGGAAGCAGGTAAAATGTAGCAAGCAGATCTTTGCTGCTTGCTAATGAATTTTCAAGGAAAGCCATATAATTGTGAGAAGGGGGCAGCAAGATGGGAATGAACTCCCATATTCTGTGTTCTAGTTGTGTGCTTTAGACATGCCTGTGGATATGATGTCATACCCTTTGTCAGTGTATTTTCACTTTCAGAATTTGTGAGGTGCTCTGCCAACCTCATTTCAGCTGTGTGTTGTATGTGGAGTGTGACTGGGTTATCATGCCTCTGTATTTCTGAGGTAACTACAGATCACGGTCAGTGACAACTGATACCTTGCTGTGGTAGAAGAAAAATAACACACCAGACAGGTTGTGGTGACAGAAATGCAATACTTTTTTTCCAAGGCTGACATACATGCTCTTAGAACCTGCAGGTGCCTTGTGTTAGTTCAGTATGTTGTCAACAAGCTGTTAGTTGATGACAGGTACAGGCAGGCAAAAGGATTTATTTATTGTTATTCTGACAAGACAACAAAAGCCACACAAAACAATGTCTGTGGAGTCCTGTTTGTGTTCTCCTTAACAGAGTTTGTGATTTCTTGACAACAAAAGTAATAATTAATATGGGCCTAATCCTTATTCCGGCTCAGATTCAGTCCAAAGTTGGAAGTACAGGGTCTTACCAACAGAGTCAGCACCTGTTTATCTCAGTCTTTGCACTGCACTTAGGAAAGGAGGCTCATATTATGTGCTGGCTTTTGAAGTATAGGTCTGGTTTTGATATATCTGGTCTGGTGATCAAATTGGACCCTTCCAGTCATCGTGCAGCATTGAAGGTAGCTGCAGCAAAGGCTCTCCAGATCCAGCTGTACAAAACCCTGCAAATGGTGTATTTTTGGACTCCTCAACCAGAGCATTCTCAGAATCGCTGCTGAGCTAGAAACAACTCAAAGGATGCTGGAAATGCAGTTGTCTCCTGTGCCAAGGGAATGGTTTTTCATAGCTGCAGCTGTGTGCTGCACTTAGCTGTCTGGCTCCAACATTCTCTCAGTCTTTTAAATACTAATCTTAAGTCTGCACCTCTGTTGCTCAGCTTCTCCCAAGGGTGCATACAGGGAACAACAAGTCAGACACGTGGCATTAGAGAAAAGAATTTGCTGATGGGCTTGTTCTGGCAGCTATACTTGAGAAGCTTAGCATGGCCTGTGCTGAAGGAGTGCAGTACTTTATTATCTTACATGTATATTTAAAGGTACTTCCTGCAAGATAATAATCAATTGGTTTATAAGTGTGAAGTCTGTGGGGGCTGAGGTTCTGTAGCAGTAGCAGAAAGGGAGCGTTAAAAGAGGAAGGGCCTCTAGAATGAGTTGAGCAAATTCAACATTTAAAAATTAAAAAGTATACTTTTGAGATCTATAATACAGCTCACTGCTAGAATATTGAAATATTAGGGTTTTTTCTTTTTCAAAATTCATGACAGGGAAAATTTAAAAAACATAACTGAAGATGAATATATTATAGGCATATTTATTTTAAAAGTCCTCAGTTATACTAGTTAGTCTGGAAGTCTAAAAGAGCTAGAAAGCAATGTGGAATAAAGTGATCAGTGCCTGCAGAGGTGTTAGAAGTTTCTCTTTCCCCTTCTCCAAAGGGCAGCAGATTGTGTGATTTGGGGGTACTTCATACAGGTCCCCCAAGCATTTAATGCTGTCACTCTGAAGGCATCAGACTTCCTTGCATATTCAGTTTCTTTCTGCCTGAGCAGCTGATAAAAAATTGATACTTCAAAGTATTTTCCATATAATGCTTTCCAAATTTATCCCTTCTCAAATAGATGTTTATGTTGGTAAATGTCAAAGTGCATCCTTCACCATTGACTTTAACAAACTTTGTAAGGAACCTATTAAGTTTTGCCTGTTTTGAGGATTGTGGTGTGAGCCATTTGCAGGAACATTTGTAGCAGAACACTAACAGGAACACCATTGCCAAAGCAATGGAACTGCTGCTTGGAAGACATGAGGAAATTAAAGCTAACTTGGCTTCTTGGGAATATGCAGCAGGTCAAATAATGGCTGGTTCTTGTGGCACAGGACAGTGGCAGCAAGAGACAACCAAGAATGGGAACTCATAAACTGAGACCGTTCCAGGCCAAGAGAAGGAAGAACTGGCCTACTGAGTGAGTGGTATAGATCCCAGGAAAGTGGCAGCATGAAAGCTCCTGGAGAGCCTGTTAACAGAATGGGTAGTTGTGATTTGGATGGGTAGCTCTGTCTAAGTGGACAAAACTAGTTCTTACACAAACCTGCAGGAGCATGTACAAGCAAACAGTGGTGGTACTGGTAGCGCGCTGGCATTTTGGAGACGTGCGGTGTAATTCCCAACAGGTTGTGCCACAGAGTCATTCATCTGTTACCCGCACGTGTTGCCAGCCAGGCTGTAGAGAGCTGTTGACATTTGTGCCTTCTGGGCAGGGTCACTATTACATGTCAAGTCTGGCCTGAGGGTAGGAAGTGTGACAGTGCTTGTCCCAAGTGATTGGTGACAGTGCCCATTGAGAAAGTGTGTTCTTGCAGGGTGGGGTGAGGGTGGCACTGCAGTGTCCTCAGTTTCCCGCTCACCCCAGCTCAGATTCTGCAATATAAATGGGCTTAGATCATGCTTAACAGACACAAACCTTGGAGTGATGTTGCAGGGTAAGGAAGTCTCCCGCTTTGTTATTGTCCTTTCACTGTAGGGAAGGGGCTCTGGCTTCCTCCACAGCGTGTGCCAGCCTTACCACCTGCCATTCCAGTTCCTTGCCTGGCTCAGCAACTGGGAGCTATGCTCATAGCTAGCCTGAGCTTTATTCAGCTTTTGTCTGGCTTTACTGTGTTTCCTGCATAGGTACAAAACCTTGTGTGGATACCAGCTGCACAGTCTGATGAACTGATCTTCATAGGAAATCAAAACTAAGTCCGTCAGTACGCATGAGAAACAGGAAAGCTTTTTGTTCACTTGCTAGCTTGAAATTCTCCCCGTTGGGGAAGACAGAGTTTGTTGCTGATACAGCATGATGGCTTCTGAAGAAGGCAGCTGGACATCTCTTTAAAATTTTAAGATCTTCTGACAAGAAGAACAAGCAGGGCTTGCTGAAGTTGTGGAAACTAGAGTACTGAGATGGTTGTTTTCTGTGGTATCCTATGCTTGAAGAGTTCCTGGAAGCCCAGGTTAATGCCTAGTTAATGCAGAAGGTGAGCTAGATATTAGTGGACCAGACTTAAACTGTGGAAATTATTTTTAGAGCAAGGCTGTGACATT